ATCTAAACCCAATACACTGGAACAACTACGACTTACTGTCCAAGGGCGTGTTCTCTAACCTTCATCATCCAGAGTGATAAACTCCGCGCCTCCACCCCTCCCCTTATTTTTTTATTTATTTATTTTTTTTTTGTCGCTTACCCTACCCCTCTCTTTACTTTTTACCTTAAACCTTAAATCACAAAATTGCCATCGTTTCATGTATTTTACTATTTCCAGCTCTAATTGTTTATAATCTTAACTGCAAACTCAATTTCTTTTGTCGGCGATTTCTATATTACGACAGTATTTTGAGTGTTGATTTATCTGTGGATATGAAAATTTCGGCAAAAGAAGAAGCAGTTTCACCTATAGGATGTCGTCTAAAGCAATACTTGTGAAGCCATTTTGAATTCTTGTTTACCATTTCAAATCACATGAACACATAGCTAAAAAGGTCTATTAGCAAGTTACAGCAAGTTACAAATTATTCCCCAGTCCACACAGTCTGCACGGTCTTCAGCCTGCCTTTTAGCACGACCGTTAAAAAGTTAATTCTACACAAGAACCCTTGACTGGAGTATAATAAAATTGTATTTATTTTCCGTCTTTCTCAAACATATGACTTTATGTGTCTTTAAGCGAGTCACACGCAGTATGCATGAATTGATCATTCCTCAAGGTAAAATGGAAAAAGGACGGATTTTCTTGCAAACCCAGCATCAGCTTATTTTAACAATTCAACATCTTTCATGTCCGCGAAATTTAAAGAAAAAAAGAGAATTAGTGCCGTTAATTTACCAAGTTCACAGGAAATATGTCTCCAAGACAAACGGACAGCAACTGAAGAAGACAGTTGCCTGGATAAAATGCCCTTGAAAGAATTAGGAAAAAAAAAAACAGAGGGCCGGTTGTTTTATTCAGCAAAGAGCAATCGGAAAAACACGAAGTCTTGTCTAATGCAAAAACTATATAAATCGAAAATAAAGTACCCAAACACGTTTTTCTTATCGGAAATTCATGAAAAATCAGCTTCATTATAGTCTTTTAAAATTTTAAATCTTGATAGTGTTTATTCTCATGGCCATTTTCTTTTATTTCCTGTCTTTTTCCTGTCTTTTTCCTGTCTTTTTCTTCAAACTGATGGCTTCATAAACTTCATCAACACAAGCACAAGAATTGGTTCTATTAAAAATATTAAAGCAACCTTTTCCTCTCGAAATCCAATTATAGGATTAACTTTGCTTGTATAAGACCTTATTTTCCGAATAACAGGAGGACTTTCCACATTGCCTCTTTTCTTTTAATATTGTTTGGTAACTAAGTGCATTAAACACACGATTCATCGATCGATGATGTGTAAAGATAATCGTTTCTCGCGGTCCATAATTCTTTCTTGATTATACACATTGCATGTGATTTGCTTATCGCTGTGTGTAATAATAGATTAGAAAATAGGGAACTTATTTGAGAAAGAATGCAAAATCCTTTTTAAAAAAAATTGGCAGTAGGGTTTATTTACTAAAATTGTATACAATAGCAGAGGCAAAGCCTTCTATAATGTTTGCAAAGCGATGATGGCCAACTTTTAAAATTTTCGCCAGGACACTACCTGTGAAAGACATGGTACAATCTTACCGTGTAAAAAGTTAGGTTAAGGCAGTGATTTAAGGATATTTAAAAGCGTTAAAGATAATATCCCAGACATCATCAGCATGTAAGCCAGATATTGAAAGTTCTGTCTTCTGATTATCGAAGAGGAACATATGTACATATAACGTTGGAAAATCTCAGCTGTGATGTAAACTGTAAAATTGATTCCTTTCTATGTTTATTTTTAAGAGAAAAAATGAAAGATCGAGTCTTTTACGATATATCTATATCTCTTTGATCATTTAATTTTGTTCCTTCTTGGTTATATTAACCGTTGGCGGATCACCCTTGGAATGAGAAATAACATTACATAAAATTGAGAATAGTGTCAAGTGCTGCTAAAAAATTACAATGCACTTCAAATCTAGTTGCAACAGCATATTAAATTAAGTTCTCCTTATAGTGAGAACAGTAAACCTAACACTGCTCAGAAAGCCGTTGCTTTATGCCATGGGTTAACAAAAGGACACATACACAAAAAGCTCTTTCGTCTTGAAAGTGTTATTTTGCAAGGTGCGTCAATTTACGAAAAAAAAAGGGGGTATTTGTGCTTTTCACTAATCCCTGTCCTATTTGAAGACACAAAACTCAGAATCCCCTGCCATTCCGATTTACTGATGGTAGCCAACATCATTCGGGTTGCCCATTTCCTGATAGTCAGCTGCCATATTATGGATGCCTACTTCATGGTAACGGACGGCTCCATTGGAAAAGTGGAACTTATCGTTACTATCAGCCTTTTTCCAGACGCCTAACTCCTCGTAGCTGATAATGTCCTCTTTACAATGCACTTCTTTTAGCTCGTATTTCTCTCGGTCAGGGAAGGAAACATCTGAAGGCATCACGCTGGAAGAGCGTTTGCGGCTACGTTCCTTATAACGTTGGTGGCGGTGGACGAGATAAATGCTGATGAACACGAGGACAGCTATCCCGGCACAAGAGGCACCAATAATGAGTGGGTAGAGTAGCTTCTCTTTTGAATCCTCTGTTGGATCTAAATAACATATAATGCAAGGGTTTAGCAAGTCAGTGAAACATAAAATGTTCTATACATGTACGTAATTACTTCGTAACAACTTATTACAGCTCACGCCACTTTCATCCCCCGTTGTTTATGCAACCACTAATGCTACTACCACTACTATTGCTGATAGCACCGATATTGCTATTGCTGCTGTCACTGCTAATGCTATTAATATTGTTAGTAATACTTTCATCCCCCATTGCAAATGTAGCCACTGGTGCCACTGCCACTGCCACTGCTACTACTACTGCCAATGGCATTGATACTGCTACTTCCACCGATATGGCTATGCTTATGCTATCGTTACTTCTGGTGCAGCTGGTACTCTTACTACCCTTACACCTGCTACTGCCATTGTTACTGCTCTTGCCGCTGCTAATACCACGCCACTACCACTGCCACTACTACTTCTACTTTCAACCCCCATTGCTAATGTAACCACTCGTGCCACTACCACCGCCAATGCTGCTACTACTACTACTGCACTGATATCGCTATTGCACCTGTTACCACCACTGCTACTGCTACCACTAATGCTGCTTCTTCTGCCAGAGCCTATGCATTTGATAATATTCCTGCTACCATTGTCACTGCTAGTGCTGGTGCCAGCGCTACCTCTATTGCTAATCCTACTGCTACTGCTACTGCTTATGTTTCTGGTACTGAAAGTTCGTAAATTACCTTCATCTTCCCTGACGATTCTTAAGGATGCGGGATTAACAGCCAAAGGACCAAGATTGCCATTATCCACGGCCTTTTTCAACGGAGCTACCGCTGTTTCATCTGTAACTGTCTCCTTGAATAACAACTTAAATTCGACCACAACACTTCCGCGCCTACAGGATATGGGTCAGAACAAATTCTACCGTCAATTACCATAGCTGCAGTGCAAACTGAAAAGACCGAATCACTTAGTTATTCAACTTGGCATACCTGAATGCTAAGATTTGTACTCCGATGAAATTGTTGACTTCAGAATACTGTTTTGCTATCTGTTGGTTAGATTATCATTATTTGAGATATTGTCATCCATCTAATACTGACAAAATTGCTGAATGGTATATAAACTAAAGAATTGACAAGAATCCTTTAACTCACAGAAGTCCCTATAACACTTAGGTCACTGGCCAATAAGAATTTAACGATTAGTTTTAGTTCTAAGGCTACGAATGGTGACCTATAAGCCATACAACTAAGTCTCATGCTTATAGTGAAAGAACCACCAAACACTACAACTTTTTTTTTTTCCACGACTCATCCGTTTTTCCATGAAGGTTATTTAGTAGGAAGAAGGGGAGAAAAACTTCACACAATAAAGTGTAATGTGTTGAACGAGCGAAACAGGTCGATCAAGATACAGCAGGCTGAGAAAAATGTATTAGTCAAAGCTTGCCGATTACAACTCCTATATTATTTAAGATGAGTGGGAAATTCAAAAGCCAGTGAGAGTTAAAATTCAACCGTGTTACAAACTATCAAATTACTCCAATCCCACCTCATTTTCAATGATCAAGGCTAAATCTTTGAAAGCTGTACTGGTTTCGTCTTTAAGGGCTTCATTCCAAGAGCTTTCAATACGCATTTCAAGTGTAATCGCTAGAAGAAAAAACTTAAACTCATTATAAATGTGGTAACACAAAATAGCCCTTAAACGCCACTTTATAGTCTCCAAAGTTATTTGGAACGTAAAGAGAGCGTGGAAGAAAATTTCTTATTGGCAGTTACTATCAGTAAAAAAATTCTGCGGAAATAGTTTCCCTACGATGATGTTCATACCCATCATCAAATATATACGTACCCGTTTCGGGGTCATCCGTTGTCGGCCCAGGTGTGGTAGTTTTTTCACGGGCGTCGATTGTGGGAATATCTTTAATAAGTGAAGACGACATTGTGGTATCTTTAACCGTAGAGGTGGTGCGTATTTGATGCATTGCACTGGATTCCGGAATAGAACTCGTCGTCAGATGCGTGGACAATACAGTACTTCTGGCTTGGTTAGAAGTGGACGCTGATGTAGACACATATTTGCTGATCACTTGTGTAGAATGCATGATGACAGCTATGGGTTTGAAAAGAAGTAATCTCTAACGTATAAATAAGATTTCATTGATTAAAAACACAAAGTAAAAGATGAAATAGCACAATAATCTCAACATATCGGTTTTAAAGAAATTCCGATCATTTTGGGCTCCTCTCTAGATCAAAAAACATCATTGATGGAAATTAACTCTACAGTAATCGAAAGTGTTTTCGTCGATAACTGCACAATAGTTTATTAAACGATTAAAACTAGCACCAATAGCTGGTTTACTTGTAAAGAAACGATAAAAACCTCCCCAAATCCTTAAACTGCCAGACAGACCTTACCAGTTTCGCATCGTTTACCAGTATACCCAGGCAAGCAACTGCATGAGAAGTTTTTGGTACCATCTATACACGTTGCACCGTTGGCACAAGTGTGGTTATGGCAGTCATCAATGTCTACAAAGGAAAAAAAGATATGAGGGAGTAGCAAAGTCGGCCAGAAATTTCAAAAGTAATATTTACCAGAGCATTTTATGTATTGCTTCCATTAGAATGATCGCCAGTGAAACAAGCCAAGAAAATTCAAGAATGATTGATTATTTCATCCACGTAAAAGCCACCGACGAGATTGCAAGTATGATACAGCTAGAGAAAGATGTTTTTTCGTCTTGTCACGAGCATGGGACAAAGAAAAGATTCAGAGTCCCCATAAGGAATCGAGCCTCAGACCTTCGGATTCCGTGCTCCGATGCTCTACCACTGAGCCACAGAGACTCCACGGTGAGCGTGGTCTATCAAGAAGTTCATATGACATACGTCCTGCATACTGCGAGGATCAGCAATTTCGATAGACAAATAATTGTAGATAGATATGTTTGTCCCATGCTCGAGACAATGCAAAAAAAAATCTTCTCTATTTCTTTACCAAGCTCAAAAACCTACCATCTCTCTTACTTCTATAATACAGTTGTCTACAGCTGCTGAAAATATGGTGAAAAAACCAGGAAGTTCAGTATCCAGAGCTACCAGCTGCGGGGCTTGTGAGAAAAACCCACAAACTGCAGCTATACTTTGTCTTTGCTTCCTTCGATTTGAGATAATAGATTCACGGTATAGTATGTTATTAGCATTAACTTGTCTCACAGAAATTTCCAGTGAAACCAAGCAAGCATGCGCACGGATAGTTGTTCACACCATTCATGCACGAACCACCAATGAGACTGCGTCAAAACGTAATTTTTGACGAAAAGCAGATTTTTAGTATCCAGAGTTATAATTGCCGGGTTTGTTAGTAAAACCTAAAAATATGAAGCTATATTCCCGCGTGATAAAATTCGCTAATGTTTAGCATTTAATGGTGCTTATAGGCAAAATGTGAAGAAAAGAAGAGTGACCTTACTCCTAGGAAACTTCAAGCTGCAAAAACATAATCTTACCAGTTTCACAGCGTTCACCAGAATACCCAGGTATGCACTTGCACGAAAAATTGTTTGCGCCATCTACACACGTCGCACCATTAGCACATGTGTGGTTAGCGCAGTCATCGACGTCTTTGGAAAGAGGAAACAACAAAGAGTTAGAAGTTTACCTTCTGTCCTTACTTCCCTCTATTTAAGTTGTGAAGTTAGATTCTGATTCACAGCATAGTCCACTATTAGCACTAACTTGTCTCATAGTAATTTCTAATTGAACCAATCAAGTGCATGCACGAGCATTTGTTCACACCATCCATGCTGGAACCACCAACGAGACTACATGTGTAATTCTTAAAATCGTCTATGTATGCAGCGAAAAGGATAATTATGACGCAAAACTCGGATGTCCGCTATCTAGAGATACCTACTTTCAGCGTTTGTGAGCAAAAGCCCACAATCTGCAGCTACTATAAAGCTAGTTATAAAGTTTATAGAAATTTACTTGCAAAAAGTCAAGAAAAGAAGAGGAAGATTTTAGCTACAAAAACTTAATCTTACCAGTTTCACAGTGTTTACCGGTATACCCAGGTATGCAGCGGCACGAGAAATCATTGGTACCATCTACACACGTCGCACCATTAGCACAGGAGTGGTTAGCGCAGTCATCGACATCTATCATACAATGGTGAATAGCAAGAAAAGGTCATCTTCTATCTTAACTTCCCTTTGTTTGAGTTGAGAAGTTAGATTATAGTTGGCAGTATTGTCTGCAATTAGTACTTACTAGGCCGGACCATCATAATGAAGACTATAGTTGACGAGAACATAATGTAGTCAATGTCTAATAAATAAAGAAAAAGTGAAAAAAAAACCAAGAAGGTGGAACGGAAAAATGTGTTTAAAAAAATCATCAGCAAGTTTATCTTCTAGTTGCATGAGCGCTTTGATCTCGTCCTCTTATTGTTAAGTAGATGATGCAGCTAATGAAGCTTTCTTCAAACGATACAACGAATAATTAGAATAGTAAAGAGAATGTAGTTGGATATCTCATTACCAGTCTCACATAAATCTCCTGAAAACCCTGCCATACAGCTGCACGAGAAGTTATTGACAAGGTCTATACACGACGCACCATTAGCGCATGTGTGGTTGATGCACTCGTCGATGTCTATCAGAAAAGATCATTCAACAGTTAGTACATTTTGATTATTTCTTTACTTTCCATGTTATAGTGTACTCAAAACACTAACTTGTCTCACAGTAATTTCCAGTTAAACCAATCAAGCACATGCACTAAGAATTGTTTACACCATCCATGATAATTATTTTATCCTCTATGCCTACAGAGAAAAAGGTAATAAAGACACAAACTAGATGTCGAGTATCCAAAGATACCACTTTTAGTGTTTGTGACCAAAAGCGCACAAACCGCAGCTGCTGTATATCTTTGTTATGGAGGTTATAGAAGTTTACAGGCAAGTGTCAAGAAAAGAAGAGCGACTTCACCTGAAGAAAAATTTTTTGCTGCTTAAACCAAATCTTACCAGTTTCACAGTGTTTACCAGTATAACCAGGTATGCAGCGGCACGAGAAATCGTTGGTATCATCTACACACGTCGCACCATTAGCACAGGAGTGGTTAGCGCAGTCATCGATATCTATCAAAACAACGGTAAATAGTTATAAAGTCTTCTTCTGTCTTGAATTGAATAAATAATGCTGCACAGAATAGTCTGCTACTAGCACTAACTCGTCTCACAGTGATCTCCAGTGAAACCAACCAAGCACACACACGAGTAGTTATTCACACCATCAACACAGGAACCACCACTGACGGTGCATGTGTGATTCATACAGTCGTCGATGTCTAGTAAAGAGAAATAAAAATAGAAAAAGATGTGTTATTAGAAAAAAAGTAGTCTGATAAATCATAGAGCTACTTAGCAAGTTAATGTTAAAGTTGCAAAATGTAAGCGCCTTTATATCTGATATTCCTTACAAAACAGTAGTATCATTTTCTGGAGAATTCGTTTAATTAAGTAATAATTATCCCTTTAGATGCTGGTAAGAGTGTACCCCAAAAAGAGGGCAATTATTAGACAGGTAGTTCAGTGTTAACAACTATCTATCTATCGTCTATCGCTCTGACGAAGGACTAACGTTCGAAACGTCAGCTTTTACTCTTTACGGTGGCCAATTTACGTTTTCAACTCAGTTGTTAACACTAAATTACCTGTTATACTCTCCCACCGACGCAGCACCACAGTCTCTTAGAAACTTACCCCCTCTATTCAATTAGTAGACAAATGGACTATCTGTGACCACAGCTACTCGGAGGTTGGTCATATAATTGTGAACCCTTTTACTTCACGATAAAAAGCTGTGATTTTGTCGTGATAGAATTGATACCTTTGCAATTCTTTCCATCTCCAGTGAACCCCAAGGGACATGGACCACAACTAATAATCTCACTGTTTTTGAAGCAAGTCACATTCGGGTAACAGGAATCATCGGCACAGTTCTTTATCTTAATATCACAGTTCGAGCCGGTAAAGCCAGCGAAGCAGTTGCACGTGTAGTTATTCACCAGGTCAATACATGTACCTTGCAAAACCAAAAGAGCAGTTAAAGATAAAATGTTGAAACTAATGTGGATCTCTATAACACTGGATCTAAGGGAGTGATTTCGACTTAAGGGAATGAAAGATCACCGGCTTTCTTAGAAATCAGAGCATTCTCAGTTTTCTTTAAATTTGCTTTTGTAATTAATCAATCATTTTATCAATGTCGAAGTGGGGAATTAGGTTACTCTATATGAAGGCTTTAATGAGGTCAACCGTTGACCGTAAAACAGCAAACAAAAAATTGCCCCTAGGCAATTGACAAATTTTAACCATTAGTCGTAAAAATAGTTAACCGTAAAATGATTCCTTTCTACATTCTTCCTTTTGGGTTAACCGTAGCCGTAAAATGGCCAAAATGTTAATCGTTGGCCGTAAAAATCATTATCCCATTGAGACCCTTCTATAAAGCTTTACGATGGGGTAGCATGACTTGATTAACAATCAAAAGAAATAATTAAGAAAATGTCAACTTAAAATGCAATATATCAAGCAATTAAAGGATGCAAATATAAGTATTTACACGTAAATGCCTCGCCCATATCAAATTGCAGATTAATCGGGAAAATAAGAGGACAGATCCCATGTTTCAATAAGTTTAACTTCATTTTGCCGTTTTCCATTGGGAGATATTTCTGGAACTATGACGAAATTGCGTTTTAAGACTCCGAAGAGTAACCAATACTTAAAATGCATCTAAAATTCGCTTACTTGCTACTCTGTCGAATCTTGCTCGACACTCGTATGATCCAAAATTTAAATGGTTAAGAACGCAACGCTTTATTGAGAAAAGTAGGCTTTTTAGTGAAGGGGATTCCTTTTGGAGCCTGGTATGAATTGTTTCTCTGTCAACTCTTAAAATGTTTAGTTTGTCAGAACCAAGTAATTGATATGGGGTGAAGTTATTCTATGGCGCTCCATGATTATTTCAATTGCTTCATATTACTAACTGGAATTTTGAGAATAACTTCATTGCATATCTAGCATTAAGTAATTGAATAATATCTACTACTTTCTATGATATAAAATTGCATACCATTTACACAAGGAGTTGCAAGACAATCATCTATGTTGGAATCACATCTTACACCACTAAAACCGGTTGGGCAGATACAGGTAAAACCGTTAATTTTGTCTACACATGTACCTTTAAAAACAAAAACACAAACAGACAGAGAAACAAACATAAACAAAAAGAAGGAAATTAAAAAGGACAATTAAACATGTTATTTTTGCACAATCTTACAAGCTTCAAACTGGAACTATAATTTTCTAGAGCTCCTCGAGCGTCATTGATAAAATGATAAATGGTATTATACAAGCTTTTCAACTCGTATTTATCATTTCAAAATCCGAAAGACTCCAAGCATTTCCAAGGAGTATTATCTACGAAATTTATAAGTTACTGGTGATAGCTTTGTTGACTGAATCCATCATAATTCACTGCTAGAACTGCACACCCAGTTAGTGAAGTAAAGGAGATGTAAACGTTGGGTTTTTAGAAACATCGATCCTTTTACGATATGAATGGACTTACTCTCAGATTGTGAAAGATAGAAAGAGAAAAGCATACTGCAGATTGTCAAAAGGCTAATACAACCAATTAACTTTTCATTACCATGAACGCATGGAGAAGACTGGCACTCGTCGATGTCTATGGTGCAGTTAAAACCAGTGTAACCAGACAGGCATTGGCAGGAATAATTGTTCACGGCATCGATGCATGTACCTAAAGTGAGTTAAGTTTCTGTTAATTATTTCTATTTTATTGTATAAATCATATTTTTTAAATGTTGGGAGCGATATAAATTCAAGTGTCTAGATCGCTCTTTCACCCATAAAAGATCTTCTTACATAATTATGATAGTTTCGGGGAATTAAAAAGTGATTGTCATGTTTCTATATATAACTTACCATGAAGACATGGAGATTGTAAACACTCGTCGATCTCCTTTTCACAGGTTTGTCCTTCGTAGCCAGGTTGACACTCACAGTAGTACATGCCTGATCCTCTGGGGTGATTAGGATCGGGCACGCAGGTCCCTTTGTCGGTACAAGGGCATATCAATATCTCTATAGTCATGTTGAAAGTGGATGAAGCGTTACACTCGTCAGTAGCTTTGAAAAAGAATTTCGTTGAATTAAGACTCTCGGGCGTCCAGTGAAGAACGTTGCTGTCGCTGAATGACGCTAAGGAAGGACTTCCACCGATCATTTTCACCACAAATGGTCTTTTCTCAGGGTCTTCTCCTTCTAACTGTAGCCGAAGATCTTCTCCAATGAGGGCATATCTCACCGATGGGGTAGTGACGTTTGGAGGAAGATTTACTTTAAAGGAGAATGCAAATATTTTAATAACAATCACGACAGCCTCTCCTCTCTCATTACAAACCTTATTTACATTTGTCCTCAATTTTTTTACATAAACAATGGGAAAACTCCTAATTCTTTCCAAAACTATTTTATGCTTCCCAAAACAGCATTTTCTGCGAAAATGGATTCGTATGGAAAGTTTTCATGTTGATTCCGCAAAAAAGAAGATATGAAGTTTTTGCTGATTAAATTAAATAAACCTGCTAAAACTCCTTGCTTATCTTCGTACGAGAAATCACTACGATAATAACAAAATACGCGCAATTCTTTCTTTATTTACAGAATTTACGACAACATTTGAAAGTACATGAGCAATTATACTAAAGCAATAACTTGCCTCAGGCTCCCTCGAATAATCCCCTCGACTCAGTCTCGGGGATTATTAAACAATTTGAGGTGAATGGCTTTTAATTTTTTAAAAAACAGTGATAATTACAATAACATTACAACAAATTGACGAGTTGTTGGCCATGTTGTTCCGTGCAAATCTCGCATTGTTTCATGATACACCTGAAAAATGAACGAAAAAATACCCGGTAAAGCAAGCTGGCTTTTTTTTCCCTGAAGAAAGTGAGGGACTACTTTTACGTTAGTAAAACAGGTGAAACTTGTCGTCGTAATGACAGAACATTTCAGAACTCACCACCACTACAGTTAGCTAATGTGGTATAAGCATCTATCCAATTATTTCATAGATCATTTCTGAGTGAGTGGTTCAGTCGGATGAAAATAATGACGTCTCTTAGAGCTGGAACGCACATAATATGGGAACACTCCCCTTCCCCGCTTTGGAGGCGTTCAGGAGCATCAAATCTTGGAAAAGGGAAAAAATCCTGACATTGACAAAAGAGTAATATAACGCAGAAAAAAAAATAACAAAAAACTTACCCATTTCCAGTTGATTCAGCAATGAAAGCTATTAATGCGCCTCACGCGTTGCTTGTTAAATGGCAGCCATCTCCTCTCAGGGAATTACTTTTGCGAAAAACCGCTAACCTTTATTTGCTTTTCCATTTTCTTAGAAACCTACCCAGACCGGTCAAAACGTGAACTTATGCCTAGTAAAAGAATCTTCAGAGCAATTTCAATATAAATATATTTTTTTAAAAAATAAGATCACATAGCCCACTATTAACGTTGAAATAATTTTCTGTCTAAAAATGTGAAATTTTGCTATATTCCTATATACATCAGGCGATGGATGAATTTCTGTAACATCTTGTAAATGAAAGGATGCAGAATTGCTGTGACATCTAGTGAGGAAGTATTTGCAGAATTTCTGCGAAATCTAGGGAGTTAGAGTCTAAAGAGTTTCTATAACATTTATTGAACAAGGTTGCTGAATTCCTGCAACATCCAGTGTATTATAGGTTCAAAAATTTCTGCAAAATCTAATTACGAACGAGAGGTTGCAGAATTTTCTGCGACATCCAGTGTATTACTAGTTGCAGAATTTCTGTGATATACAGTGTCTGAGTTGTCACAGAATTTCTACGACATCCAGTGTGTGAGAATTTGCACAATTTCTGCAACATCCAATGAATTAGTGGCTACAGAACTTCTGCGACATCCAGCGCATTAGAACATGCAAAATTTCTGCAAAACCTAGTAAATGAAAGGTTATAGAATTTCTGCAAAATCTAATGAATGGATGGTTGCAGAATTTCTGCGACATCCAGTATAAGAATGGTCGCAGAATTTCTGCGACATCCAGTATACGAATGGTTGCAGAATTACTGCGACATCCAGTGTATGAGTGGCTAAAAAAGTTCTGCGACATTCAGCGCATTAGACTTTGCAGACTTTCTGCAAAATCTAGTGAATGAGGGGTTGCAGAATATCTGCGACATCCAGTATACGAATGGTTGCAGAATTTCTGCGACATCCAATGTTTGAATGGCTAAATAAGTTCTGCGACATTCAACGCATTAGACTTTACAGACTTTCTGCAAAATCTAGTGAACGAGAGGTTGCAGAATTTCTGCGAAATCTAGTGAATGAGAGGTTGCAGAATTTCTGCGACATCCGGTATACGAATGGTTGCGGAATAATTGCGACATGCAGTCTACGAATGGTGGCAGAATTTTTAGCAACATCCATTGACCGAGAGGTTGCAGAATTTTTGCGATATCCGTTCTATCAACGAAGCAAAAACTGCTGAGATCTAATCTCTTTAACAAGAGCTTTCAGGGAGAAACCATTGATTTATCTGAAAATTTGCTATTTTAGAAAACAAAAATAGTTTGGAAAGCATTGCTCAATGAACGAAGCAAAAACTGCTGAGATCTAATCGTTTTGCAGGAAAATAGTGTGGTGAATGCCGCACTTTTTTTATTCAGTCACATCGTGCCATACCTCAACGCGTATTTAATAAAATCCCAAACGAAAACACACACACAATCAAACAGATAGAAGAGAAAAGAAAAACGATAAAGAGTTAAAAGTTAATTATACAAGGACACTCGTGGCGTTTCGACGTCAATTACACATGATAGGTGGCTTATCCCACAGGGGTTTTCGGTGAGCTTAAGTTCAAAATGATGTCAAAAGGCTTTAAGCTTTTGAAAATCTCGAGGAAAAGTATTCACAATCTCTGTCCACCTTTCTATTAATTGATGAATTCATCCCATAGGAGCAAATAAATTATTCTTCAATCACCCTCTAATTATGCTAGTAACTCACCACATCGTTGCGTCCACTTATGTTGACTTTTAGACGGAATACATTGCCGACACCAATCGTCTGGATTTGGATCACCTTTAGCGAAACAGTGGCCTTTAATAAGACATGAGTCATCCTAAAAGATAATTTGAACAAGAGATCAGTAAATTCATGAGTATATGTATTTAACAACAATATTTTTCGCCGAAAATGAAGTGAATATTGTTGAATAATCCAACAATGTTCAATGAGCATGAGGTAGATATTTTTTTAGTCTTTCTCAGGTGATTTCGAATTCTGATGTAAATTTAAATAGAGAAAGCATTGCGCATACTTTGTTACCACTGTGTTGATTACTCGTATACTTACTGCGTAACCAGGTTTATTCTATTCAATTAGCAAAAACATTTAGCATCTTTTGCGCTCCTCGCAATTAAATTTTCTTCTATTGCGTTTATCACTTCCTCGGAAATAATGACAAAACGCGAGGTAGTAATTTTGAAATTTAGCATTGCTGCAGTAATCACCTCACCTCAATGATTAGGGCGATTTAGAATAATTGCTCAGGTGATTATAGACATGCGTGCGCTATGGTTGGTCAAGAATTTTGTCATATCTTGCAATTATACTAGCTATTATGCTAAAACAATTCTTCGCCTCAGGCTCAATAAATATTGTTGGATAATCCACTCGACTTCGTCTCTGGGATTATTCAATAATATTCACTAAGCCTGAAGTGAACAATTGTTAAATATGACGCAATCCTCGACCAATCAGAGCGCGCGTATCTCCATAATTATCTGAGCAATTGCACTAAATATGTATGTGCATGTATGTATCTGTTGATTTCAACTATTCATTTAATTATCTCTGTATTTAGCACTGAAACCAACCTCTAACTCCACAATTAAAATTATGTAACAACATAAGAAACAAGTAATAGATGAATAGTACAATTCTAAGGTATTATAGCAGATTAGATTTCGAGATCTAAATTAGCTTCTCTTTTTCTATAGACATGTGTGCGCTCTGATTGGTCAAGGATTACATCATATCTCGCAATTACACGAAAACAATTATCCCACGAGCTCGCGTTGGATATGAGATGACAGATAGCTAACGAGGCCCTTAGGGCTGGGCCGAGTTGGCTATAATCATGTTATATTCATCCAGCGAGGACGAGGACGGGTTAATGGCAAGATATGATATTGAATATAATTAACTTTTTTTTTTGTCGTACCTTAAGAGAACAGCCATTTGAAACGTTACACACTTGACACACTGGGTCGAATGTTATCATTTGAACAGGCTCGCTCTCGTGACTTCCATCGTTGGATACTGATATGAAATACCTAGCTGCCGGTGTACCTTCGACTTGATAATTGCCAAGATTAATAGGAGGGATTGGGAGATTGCATTCAACGGCAAACAAGTCTGTTTTACTTCCATTAAACTTTTGTGACACGTTCATCGGTATCCAGGTGCTTGGTACGACCTTTTGAAGCACAAATAAGTAAAGATCTATGAGAGGGAATGTTGTTATATTGATAACACAGGGCGATATCACAAATCTCACACTGGTGTCTAGTTTGGGCATGTTACCAGTGGGAATGATGCGATCTAAGTTAGAATTACGCAGTGAAATTAGTTTTAGTCGGCTGGCTGCAGGTTTAAAAAAGGCATATAACTATTTATGAATAGTCGAAAAAATTTTAGAGGTATAGGTTAGAATACACCGAGGGTGCGAGGAAACTCACCAGTATTAACCATATAATTACAGACTAGAAGTAGATCTTAGATCTGAAGTGCTTCGCAACCAGTGAGCACAAATCGTCAAGTTATTTTTCATGGTATCATGTTTTTATCTCATTCATACTGAGATTTGTTCTTACAGACCGACAAATTTCAAAGATCAGAGGCCATTCTTTGCCCCTCCACTGTAAGTTCTATCGTTCATGTTCTAACTGGACCAAAGATATATTTTCACAGTCGTTCGTTCAGTGTGTGAAATAAGAATTCTCTCGCGTTCCAAAGTCCCTACTGAATGAAACAAAACAATTAAAATATGCAACATGAAAGCTACCTTGGACTCTCTGACATGACATGTCAAATTTTCTGAACTTAAAAAATAGTCGCCAAAAACAATGGTTCTCTTGCAGGGCCTTGCACGGATATCGCAGAGTCCTTCATCCAATGCCCTTAAAGTAGAAGGAGAAAAATTGTTTCAGTACTCGTTACATTTAAACTGGCTATCGTTTTCTGCAGCTGCCCACCCCTCTTTAACACAGCTTTTATAAAATTGGTGGGATGAGGTTGCTTCAGTGACAAGCATAATTTTTTTTTTCTCAGAGGGCAGGGTAACCAATTCTGCAATCTGATTGGTTCTTAGTGCGGTCTGGGCTTTTCTTATCTCTGCCTAAGGGCACGGTAACGCTTTTGTGAGTCGCCGAGAAAATCCCGAGCGTCGTTGCCATTTTTCGTAATTATATTTTGTTTTGCCGGCTGGGTAGTATATTCAAGCAAAGTATTTATGCGGAAATCAAGCCGATTAATTGTTAATCCTCTCTTTGCAATCTCTCAAATCGCTGTGCTTGCCAGCAATAATTGTTTTCGAAATAAATTTGTGGTAGCGAATGTGTCATTAAATGGATTGACACGCGGCCCAAAAACGTTTTTGATAAAAATTAATCCTTCAAAAAAAGTAACTCGGAAGGTTAAAACGGTGAGATATTTGTCTCTAATCAAATTAATCGGTAGAACTTTCATTTATTTAATATCTAATTTCTCTCAATTTTTTTTTGCGTTAAACGTTGAACGAAGACCTACCATACAAATACGCCTTCGATTAGCCTTTGCAAGTGTGTTCAATTTGGTCATTTGTACTGTAAATTGCACCACAAAAACCGACGAAATTCAACGAGAGAAAGTTCAGTTTTTCAAAATTTAAAATGCACTTTAATTTTTTCTCTTACGCGCCCTCTAATTGACAGGTGTCAGATTATGACAGATACTTATGAAAAAAACCTGTATCAGAGTTTGTTACATGTTTGTTAGATCATGTTACATCATATCTTTTTTTTAATCATTTTTTATTAATTTATTTTCTATCTTTGCTCATTTGCCTTTCTTCGTGTGGCCTGGCCCGTTAAAAAGTTTTTAGCAACTCGGTTCGTATATAGAAAATCCTTCTCTTGCTCACGAAATTGCGACCAATAATAAATATAATAATTGTGATAAATTCCCGATTTAGATTGTTTCTAGTCCAATTGGTCGATCCTGAACTTTCACCATTAGTTGGTCCGTGAGTGAACGGAATCCTATAGGAACTTTTATCAAAAATTAAGTAGTGAAACAATTAAGTCAAGTAGTACCTGAACAACCGCGGAATTTCATCGTATCTCATCGAACAATCAGCTGCAACGAAACCTTCATTACAAACGCAAGTACCATTTGAACAGTTTCCTTGGAAGCTGCAGTCATTGGGGCATAGCTTCTCCGTTATTTTTGTAGGAGGCACAAGATTTCCTTCCTCATCTTTCTCGTAAGCGGAGTAGTTTTTCACTACCTCAAATTGGCAGCTCGATTTTAGCGCCTCGAAAGCGCTCTCAACCCAGAAGACGTCCCCTGTTGCCTGAACAAAACAAAATAAAGGTATTAATATGGTGCGACGCTATGACGATCACTGCGATATCAACGGGTTTATATTATAAAAGAGATGAAACAAAATTTGTGTTTGTCCCCTCCCCTGTAATGGAGGTGGACTTTTGAATTTGCGTTAGAGCAAAATTTGCGTCGGAGCAAAATTTGCGTCAGAGCAAAATTTGCGTCGGAGCAAAATTTGCGTCGGAGCAAAATTTGCGTCAGAGCAAAATTTGCGTCGGAGCAAAATTTGCGTCAGAGCAAAATTTGCGTCGGAGCAAAATTTGCGTCAGTGCAAAATTTGCGTTAGAGCAGTGTGGCTCAGTTTTACTCGGTGACTAGGCAGTAATTCGGCTTCACCAACGATAAATGCAAGTTTGAATCGTGGCTTTGCGATTTGTTGAGTTTACTTCTAGTAAATAATGAATACAAACCAGACAGAATCCTCCTTCGATAGGAAACATATTGCGATACCAGTGTTTCCTCAGCTTTCCGTGCGTTTTTTTGTTTTGTTTTTAGGGTTCTTTTTCGTGGTAATGCGAAATTCAGGGCTTCTCAATATTCCCTTTGCATCACATCAACTCACACTCGTACGCTTTAATTTATTGCAGTTTGTCAGCTGTCAAGATCACTTCACTTATTTCAAAGGCTATCACTTAAAACAGAAACGAGAAGAAAAAGATAAAGAAAAAGTATGTCTTGATTTGAATTTAACAGCTTTGTATCCTACCTGCAAATCTGAAGCACATTGGCGGATGATGCCACTAACGTTTACGTTTGGAAGTTCTATACAAACACGGACAGCATCAATGTTTAACAAAGTTTTCTCACAGTAGTCCGTTGCATTTTCCAAGGACATTTTGAAGTTCACGTCACGTTTTTTACGCAGCGAATTGAATGAGATAGGAGTTTCGATGTTGTCATAACGGTAAATGACGTCATCACTATACTCAACATCTCTCTTTCCTTCGTTATTATTAAGGTTTCCTTGGGGTGCAGGTTTAAAGGGAGGATTTTGATTTGTTTCTGTAGGCTGTGAGACGCTTTGATTGCACCGAACATCCATTACTCCACTTGTTTCGGTGCATGTGCAGAATTCCTGATCGAAGATGGAACCGTCACATTGTGCATCATTGCACATCGGCACAATGTGGAAGAGACTCTCCGACTTGTTGACTCTAGGGAAACATATTCTATTAGGGTCCTGATTAAATTCAAACAAATTGAATTATCAAATATGATGAATGTAAACTGTTTTTAACTGCTACTACGATAATTGACTTTAAGGAAAAGAAAAGTTATGAATATGAAAGCGATCTTCGCAGTAACGAACGCTACTTAAGCAGAAAAACATCAGGCCTTTACGGGATTTGAACAAATGACCCCCGGTGCACCTCTCTACTGACTGATTATGATTGTGTTGGTTCCAAATAAACCCGTGAAGTAGTGAATAAATGACTGTAAATATATGAAAATCATAAATATGAACTGTAGATAAAGAAGTGAACTTGGAAACGATCCTCGCAGTAATGAACAGGCCTGTGGGGAATTTGAACCCATGATCTCTGCGAGCCTGTTAACACAGTTGATAGAGCGCTACATCGGTATCGCAAAGGTCATGGGTTCAAATCCAGTACAGGCCTGAATTTTTTTCAGTTCCAATTTTTAATACTTTTTAAGTAGTTTTCATCATTGCAGAGATCGCTTTCATGTTCATTTCTTTGTCCGCATTTCATACACATGATTTTCATATATTTACAGTCGGAAAAGTATAGTGTTCTGTCATTTCAAAACCTCTTTTAAATCCATTTAATACGATGTTAAGGTAAATTTTTGGAGAGGCGATGCTAAAACCGAGAAAGTTGTTTTTCTGGAACAATAATGACATCAATCCTATAAACTACGGTTTTAAAAAAGGATTTCCAGCCCCGAGAAAAAGCGGTAACAACACACGTGCAGAAAAAAAAACAAAAAACGACAACAAAAGAAAAAAACAAGAAAAATAAAAAGGGAATGAAAAAAAAAACCTTATTTTTTCACGTGTGTTCGAAAAACTTTCGCCGATCAGCTACTGACACGTTACCCGCCTTTCGCGCCACTAGCTCAGTTTGACAAATGAAAGGCAAATCCTTCACCATTCTCAATCCAAGGTCTTTTGTCGGAATTTTCTCAGTTTATGGCTGCTGAAACACTGATTAATTCCCTATCGCTTATAGACAACGATGCTCAAACTTTCCTAGAAGAGGAAGAAAACCAATGTACGAAAAAAAAAAATCGAAAGTTACGTATTCAGTGGCTTTGGCAATTGCATTTCTTGCGGCTGAGAACGAAAATCCACAGGCCGATTTGGTCGTTTACCTGAAAGATTTCCTATGTCAGTTAGGAAAAAGTCAATCAATGATAATTGCAATGCATTTAGCTTTAGAAATGATGATTTATTTTACCTCCAGCTTAGTCCAAAAGCTTCTTGATCTGCATGATTTTGATTGTCCCCACCGAGAAAGTCATCGTTGGGATCACCATTAAAATTTCCGCACATACCTTCGGTTTTAGAAAAGTCAGACCTAGGGGCGTACAGATATACGCTATTTCCCCAGCTATAGCGCTGTATTCGAACTCTAGTCCCAGAGGGAAGTCTCACCTTTTAAAAAATCAATTATGCATGTCATAGGTCAGTTCTCGCTCTTCAGGAGTGAATGAAATTATCTTGAACCTACAAGCACTAGTTAACGCTATACCTTAACTACCTTGGGACAGAAGAATAGAAGTAAACATCATTTTGAGATTCTAGGGGCATTATTATAAATAGGGATAACCTTGTAAAAGCACATGTTACGTGTACTGATATATTATTCGGATTCGGCTTGCCAATCGATAGTTTTTCCGCCTGTTTTGCTTTTGTTCACTGTTAAAGCCAGAACACTGGAATCAGCTTAGTGATGTTATTAAATGAGGAGTCTCCATCTTGAAAGATGGTAAGATAATTAGCGAAAGTGCTCAGCTTTTCTCCTCATCCTCTATTAAGATGCTTTTAATAGATTGTTTTTCCGGATGTGATTTGCAAGAAATTCGAGAAGCCCTTTTTCACAGATGTGGCGATAGCTGGCCGGCCTGACGCACACCTCGCTACAGAGAGAAATACTCTATGGCAAAACCACTGTTCATGATGCAACTCAATAAAATGCAACTCTGAAAAACCTTAATTATTTACTTTTTCTTGCAATGAGCGTGACCACGGCCTGCAGTTTGAGAAGAGGACAGTAAACCACATCGGTAAGAGTAATTTTTTGAAGTTTCAACTAACTAATTTCCTAATGGAGACCAAAATGATTTACACAACTGGATTCTAAGCTCTCATTCCCAGGGTTTTTTCGTTGTTATTCATGAAGCGCGGAATAGGTTGTGCATTGCTCTTATCAGTACTTCTTATCGCACTTTCAATTTATAACACTTTCTTTCACAAGGAGCAGAGGTTTTCGGAATTCTTCTAATTCTTTTTCATTCTCTTTTAGCTCCAATTTTGCTCTAATGTAACCAGTTCTCATTTGCATGATTTTGAGTTAAAGCAATAAAACACACTTTCTATCGGTTTACCGGCTGATAAACCGCCCAGGATGTTGGGAGAACACGAGAAAAGTTTGGCTTTACAAATGCTTGCAATTTTGACTCCCGATAATGTGTACGGAAATTTTTCAAAGTCTGCAGGCCTTGGAAGCGTTTTAATATTTTCAGGACCTTTTCCAGCGAAATAAAGGTCAGTTGTAGAATTTTAACTTGTGAAATTTATTTTCAATACGAGGATTTATCTTTTAATTCTTTAATAACGTTACCACTGCACCACGACAAAAGCGATAAAATCAAAGGACAATAACATTGAGCCGTGTGCACTGTTTCAAACTTCGTCCACCTATTTGTTTAGAAGCAGTACACTATTTTCCTTTATCCATACAGATTTGTCTCTGTTGCCTCAGCTTAAATTATAGCTATCATGAAGTTACCTTTAAAGTTTATAGTAAATTATTCAAACGGTTAAACTTGCTATTGAAAGCTAAAATCACGGACAGCAAACGGAATTCGCATAAAATCTGCATTTTACAGGACGGGAAGATATTTCAGTTTTCTACGGTTCAGAGCTGTGAACAGTTCCCGAGAACGAAGCCTAACAGCTAAATTTTTGGCAATTTTATGGTCAACGGTTGATCCTATCGAGATTCTCTCACTATCGATGGGGATTCAATTGCTGCTTGAGGGAAGAAAGTTTGTGGTAGCTCTCCACGGCTGTTGATATATTTGCTTTTATGGCCGGCACCGACTTCAGGATTGTTACCGAGGTAGCTCGCAAACAATGTGAGGAATTTTCAAAAATTTATCACAATGGCGATGACTAACGTCAAAGTTCTACATCTTCTATTAACATTTCAGAGTTCAAAAATCTTACATGATGGCCGTCTTAGATTATTTTATTGAAATTATCTTTTTATTTTGTAATTTAATCGTTGGAAAGACTAAAATTAACAAAAAAAAACTGAGAGGTGGGAGAGGGGAGGATATCCATTTCGACTGGACGTCCAAGGACTTATAGGAGTCTTTGTGTCTCACCTCGTACTCGCTATAACCACCTGGATGCCGCACAAGTATTTCTGTTCCCTTTCGTAACCGGCGTTTGCTAGGAATTCGTATTTTCATTGGCATTCCATATCGCAGATGCAAATCCGTGGTACAAGTGTCCAGGACAATAACATCATTGTGTTCCCTTATGGCCACACCACAGTCGCATGCTCTGTCCCAACAATTCCACAGGCGAGTTTGTACCTAATATGGGTAGAGAAAGACTGTTTACATGTCTCAGAAAAGAGCTTTACATTCAAAATCATTATCCGACAGTACTTGTTCGCTAACGACATCTCAGACAGTCATTTCGGCCACTCATATGTTTTTGGTAAACTGTCAGCCTCGTCCCCTTGACATGCGTGCTTGAAATTCATTATAGTTGCCTAAAATACTCGAAAACAGTTCGAAGAACGCGAACCGAAGGGAGGGGCTAACCCGGATATCCTATTTCAACTCGACTTTCTTTACCTTCGTTTTTTAGTGCTGTATTCTTTGAAAGAAGGAAAAACATACTCGTGGAAACTAACTGGGAAAAACGTTACTGGAAAGCTACCACTTTCCTGCGAAGTGCCATTTTGCCTGTTGCCTGTAATGAATATGAGGGTTCTATCATTTTATCGGCTGACGGCTCTCAGCGTGAGAATCGTGTTGACATAATTCTCTGACAAGGCATGAGATGTTTAGAAGACCAAACTCTATCAAAAACTCACAAGAAGATTTTGACAAAATAGCCCTTCTTCAAATAAATTAACGAGGAATGTAGAATTGGCGGAATTCCGTAAAATTCGATCCGAAGGTTGAGTGAACAATGAGAAACAGGCACATTTTTAAATATTCAAATAATTCCCTCGTTCGGCCTTGGTAATTTACTCTTTTGCAGGTCTTTTTAATAATCGAGCGAGTTTCATAAAATCTTACTTCAAAATATCGATCCAAGTTGCGATATAAAACAAAGTCTCCAGTTCCTGTGTAGAAGTCAAAGTACCTGCGATTGAGATGAGACGATTTAATCAAATATTCATTTACTTAGCTGAAGATCCATTTAGAAAGCTGGCATTAAATTGAGAACCTAATGCAAAATCCTAGAGTGCGCTCTACCCCATAACATTCCACCCAACCCCTCTCTTATCACTTACAGCGCTCTTAATTAGTATGCATGCACTTTTCAATTCACCCCATCCGAAACGTCCACCAATTCTTGGATTTATCCTGCACATATGATATTTATTTACGAAAAATTCCGTTTCAGTGGCCAAGAAAAACCGACCCGCACGGTTTCATCTTTACTGCAACCTGGAGCAGAGTTTACTACAAATACGTAGTTGTTATACTAAAAGCAAACCTTCTATCGAATGTCCAGTAGTGTGGATCACCCGTAGCTTGGCACAGGTTAACAGGATTCTCTTTCTTTCTCAACTGAAAAAATAAAAATAATAATACGTATGGCAAAGAACAGAAGAGTGGATACAATGGATGGTTAATTGATGCATATATAGCAACCCTAGAGGCTGAATTGTGTATTTAAAGTTATAGAATACTATTACTGAGATTTTAGTGCTAAAATTTGCCCATACAAAGGATAACGGAAGGGGGAGGGGAGGTTAGATTTGTTTGCCATCCTTCTATCGATTTTTTTTGTTCTTTCTCTTTTTATAAGAGGGATTTTATCTGGGAAACTGCCACTTTACTGGCTGACGTTTGTTTATGTTGGAGACACATTTGCTGTGAACTTGGTGAAAATCGGCTTATAGATATAGGAGATACTTAACGACAAGTGAAGTGTGGTTTAGGGTTTGATGTGAGCTACGAAAAAAATAAAAATTTTAAGCAAACGAGGAAAATACAGTCAACCTATCATCTATTTTGGAGTTTTATTTTTGTATTTCTCTGTCAAGTTGGATAGCCACTGTTCTTTTGACAAGCCAAAAATTATTGTATAAAGGAGCAAGTTTCTAAGAAACTGTGGTCGCTCTGACGAAGACCTGCTCGAAACGTAAGCCTTTTTAAAGACTGGACGTGCTCTGGTTAATATTCAGGCTATATAACTTTTCTTTTTGAGTTATTGATTAAATTTTGCTTTCAGAAAGATAAAATATAAAATTAAAGAACCAAAACAGACTAAGAAAATATAAAAAAATACAATTTTCATGTGAAATGATTTCGTAATTCACAGAGTTATCGGTGGTTTTGAGGGTGGAACTCCCCTTTGAGAACCAGTAGCTTTATTGAAGTGGAAAAAGAATTGATGA